GGCGACGGCTCGGAAGGGCCCTCTGCAGCCCGGGCCCACGGCGCCGCATTGACGGCACCGGCAGCGGCAGGCCCCAGGCGCGCCTCCTCTCGGGCCTGGAGGGCCCCCGCCAGGCGGCACCCGTGGCCGAGCCCTGGACTCTCGCCCCGGCACTCGAGACCGCTGGGTCCGCTGGCCGTGTGCCGCAGAGAGCACCAGCCACGGCACAGCGACTGACGGGCGGGCCGACGGCACTGGCCTGGGCAAGGGGCGAGCGCCGGCCCTGCGGCCGAAGGGCCGGCAGACTGCGGGGGATCGCGGCGAGGGTGCGTGGTGAGGATGCAGAGGGGGCTTGGACGCCCACTTCGAAGCCTTTCGAGCGGGGCGCGGCCAGCGAAAGTGGCTAAGGATGCTCCGAGGAGGCAAGGATGCAAGGGTACCCTTGGGGAGGTTGCCCATCCTTACTAGGCGGGCTGACTGTACTTGAGCAGGGACCGACCGTCCCAGTATTCCGATAGGCCTACCACGACATGTTCTTGGAACATATTCTCGATGTGCTAGAACAAGACAGTCCCCGCCAGAAATGTTCTAATATTTCGTGGAAACCGCAGCAGGCTCTTGGGACATTGTTCGGGAGGCCAGGGACGCTTCGCCACTGCTTGATGCACGGTAGAGATCCTTCGGGTCTCGCCCCACAGCGAGGAGGCTCGGGGAGCGAGCCTTGCAGGCTGCGCCCCACCGTCGGCAACGCAGGTGCCGGCGCGCCTGGGCGGGCCTGGCCGGCCCAGGCCACCCAGGCCGGAGGAGGAGGAGGAGGAGGAGGAGGAGGAGCAGGGGGAGGAGGAGGAGGAGGAGGAGATGGAGGAGGAGGAGGAGGAGGAGGAGGAGGAAGGAGGAGGAGGAGGAGGAGGAGGAGAAGGAGGAGGAGGAGGAGGAGAAGGAGGAGGAGGAGGCCGCCCAGGTGGGCACGGCCCCGGCCACGGAGCCCCACGGCGCACGGCGCGCGCTCCTCAGACGCGCAGGCGAGGTCGAGGCGACGCCCACGGGTCTGCGACCGGCCCTCGCCGGCCAGGGCGAAGGGTAAAACGACGCGAAGATCGGGACAAAATCGGATCGGGATAACTCGAAATCTTTGAGAATCGGCGGGTTTGGAGGATGTATCGGGCGCCGCGGCCGCTCCAGAGCGAACGCTCTGAGAGCGCTCCGGAACACTCTGGAGCGATTTATCCCGATCCTAGCCCTGTTCTAAAGGGGGGCTCCAGCGGGCCCCGGGGCGCGAGCCGATGTGCCTTTCCAACCTCGCGGCGGCCGCACGCGCAGGGTGCGGCGGGTGCGGGGCCGAGGTGGGCGGAGCGTCGTCTCCTGCAGGCCTGCGAGGCGCCGTGCTCGCCGCCAGCGACGCCGTCACGCCGGGCCGAGTCCTCCGCGACTCCCGCAGGCCGCACTGCACGGCCAAGGCGCCACTCGAACTCGTGCGCCTCTCCCGGGAAGCGGCGGCTCTGGATCCTCGCCACGCCACCCGTCCGTGCACGGGTCTCACGCGCAGGGGAGGGGAGAGCCGTGTGCGAAGTCAGCCCGAGGCGAGCTCCCGCGGGCCACGGGGCCGACGTCGTGCGCACGAGCAGCGGGAACCGCGCGCGCGCGGAGCGAGAGGCCGCTGCTGGCTCTGCCGACGGGGCCGCAACGACACCAGTCCCTGGAGGGACGAGGCCCACGGTTCGCTCGCACCCTCCGTCCCCGCACCCTGGTGCGCCGATCGACGGCCGAGGAACGCCTGGGAGCGCCTGGGGGAGACTGGGAGCGCCTGGGAGCGCTTGGGAGCGCCTGGGAGCGCCTGGGAGCGCTGGGGAGCGCCAGGGGGCGCCTGGGAGCGCCTGGGAACGCTTGGGAGCGCTTGGGAGAGCGCCTGAGAGCGCCTGGGAGCGCCTGGGAGCGCCGGGGAGCGCCTGGGAGCGCTTGGGAGCGCTTGGCAGCGCTTCCCGATAGCCCCCTTCCATGCCAAACTTCCCGTCCTCCCTCTGCTGCTGCAGCTGCTCCTCCGTGCTCCCTCCGGCTCCCTCCTGACATCATCGGGGGGGGCCGTGGTGACGACGGCACGCTGCACGTCGCGCGTCTGCTGCCAACAGGAGGGCGAGGATCAGCAGGCGAGGAGGGGAGGGGAGGGAGATGAAGGGAGATGGGGGGGAAGAGAGAGGAGGGTGACAAGAGGACGAGACGGCACAATGACGAGGGATGACGAGTACAACGACAAAGACGAGGGCGAAGGAGAGGACGGGGGCAGGAACGAGGAGGGGGTAAAGAGGAGACGGCAATGAAGAAGGCAGTGAAGGAGGAACAGGAAAAGTAGGAGGAGGTTTGACGGGTGGGTGGAAGGGGGCCTTGGGAGGAGGTACTAGCGGACTAGGAGGAGGATGAGGGCGAAAATGAGGACGAGGAAGAGGACGATGAGGACGACGAGCAAGATTGTAGAGGGGAGAGGGGGAATAGGAGAAGATGATGGAGGAGGATAAGGGCCATGACCACGGCGAGCAATACAAAGGATGAAATGTACGAGCAGCATGTGCGCGGTAACTTCTGAAGACAGCCTCGGGACAGAACTCATCATCAGCTTCAGAAACGCCCACCCCCCTCCCCACCTCACTTCACTTACCCAGCCTACAGTCAACCCACATAGAAAGGATGCTCGGTAAGGATACCAAGGCCTTGGAAGGCCATGTCGACAATTTGCGAGCGGGGCGCGGCCAGCGAAAGCGGCCAAGAATGGGCCGAAGGGAATGATGCAAGGGTACTCTTGTAGAGTTGCTCGTCCTTACTGTGCGGGTTGACTGTACCTACCCTCCCTCACGATCCACCTTCCCCTCTCCCCCCCCCCACCCCCCTCCAAAATACTCCCTTGATGCTGCTTATTCTTCCTCCTATCCAGCATGTCGTGTCTACACATGCGCACAGGATCCGCCACCGTCCCTTCAGCACAAAGGGGTGCCCCAAGGCGCATGCAGCCCTGAGAAGTAAAGTCGTCTAGAGGTCTTAAGAACCCGAACCCCCAGTTTCCCAGGCGCTCCCAGGCTCTAATGGGCGCTCTCGCAGTGTTCCGCATGGGCCTCGAGGACAGCAACAGGCTCCAAAACGGCCATAGATGGCCCCAGCAGACCCTCAAAACGGTCCAAGAGGGTACCAAATCGCCCCAAGATCGCTCCCAGCCGCCCAAGATGGCCACAAGACGGCCACAGAGGCCTCCACAAGGGAGCCCCAAGAACACCCCCAAGAGGGCCCCAATCCGTTGGGGAAAGAGCATGTTCTTTTAAGTTTAGGTTCTGGGACCAGTTAATATGTTGACCCATTACAACCATTGAAAGACAACATAATATACAAATGACATAATTAACATCTGAAACAAAAGCCAGATCGAGCCCCCAGGATCTCCCCAAGACGGCCCAAGATGCCCCCAATAGAGCCCCAAGACGGGGAACGCGAACTGAGATGCTGAGCTCTCCGCCCTTAGAGATCCCAAGCGCCCAATATGGCTCCGAGAGGCCCCAGACGGCTTCAAGAGACTAACAAAAGGCCCCCAAATATGAGGGCTCATCGCGTATACGTCCTCGCCTACCTCTCAGCTGGGCAGACATACACCCACCATTCTGGAGTCCCGACACCACGTTGCGATGCGACGTGATGGTACCCCTCAACAGAACTTGCCTCTGCCGAAGCCTCCATCCCATTTCGCTGTTCTACTACAAGTTCACCGACGTCCACCCAAAGTGACGAGCACCGCCCTCCACGCGAAGCAACCGCAGCGCAGGCACGGTAGCGGGATGGGCCGACGACCATCAGATTGTCACGAGTTGGCTTTCGATGTGTTTTTCGTGGCAGCGTTCCAAGTCCTCCTACTCATGCTCCTGCTGCTGCTGCTGCTGTTCATCCTTGCTCCTCATCATCCTGCGCTCCTCCTTCTCACCATCATGCCCATTCGCCACCTCCCCCTCCTCCAGTGTACAAGCCATTGGCTCGCACATGGTGCGGTTGTTTTGTAGACCCGAGTCACCCAGGACATCCTGTTCGGCGCATACGAAAAGAGGCCACCCCAACGGAAAGGGATGGGTAGAGTGGCAGGGTGTCATACGTGGCGCGAGCGCACCTGGCCTGCGCACATCTCTCTCACCCAACTCTCGGGCACACGCCATCATTGAAGGGGCCCTGGGACACACAAAGAAATAGACACGAATAACAGAATTCCAAAGATTCCCCCACGTCCCATATTTTCCCACATTTTCGGGGGAATCGACGATTAATTATGTCTGTGTGTTTTCTCTCTCCTGCATCATGAGCTGTGGCTCCGTGGATCTGGCGCGTGGGCGCCAGACCGACGGATCGGGACAGCACCCCCCCGAAGCACGAAGCCGATGCCGCCCGACGTGGCGCGACGAAGCGCATCGGTCTCGCACGGAAGACGGACCCGCGGCTGACCCACACGCACCCCGATCCACACGTGCGCTGCCTCGGCTCCCGCAGCTCCCTCATCCTTCCCTCCTCCGCCCTCCTCTTCCTCCGCCCTCCTCCTCCCTCCCCCCCCCTCCTCCCTCCCCCCCTCCTCCGCGACTCCCACCTCCTCCTCCTCCTCCTCCTCCTCTCCTCCTCCTCCGACTCGACTCCCTCCTCCTCCTCCTCCTCCTCCTCCTCCTCCTCCTCCTCCTCCTCCTCCTCCCCCTCCTCCTCCCCCTCCTCCTCCTCCTCCTCGACTCCCTTCCCCCCCCTCTTCCGCCCCCCTCCTCCTCGACTCCCCGCGTCTCCCTCATCCCGAATCCCCCCTCCCTCCCATGGCGTAAGACGAAGCCAGGACGAAGATTACTTCGGGGGCAATGGAGAACAGGAGAATATAAGAGATCCGGCGGCTCCGTAAGATGCCTCGGGCGACGCGGCCTTCTCAGAGCGTTCTGGAACGCTCGCTCTGAAAGCGTTCCGGAACGCTCTGGAACGGAATGATCCTCGTCCTAGCCCCGTTCGACAGGGCTCCCGACCCCTTCCCAAGGGGTGGTCTTGCGTCCCAGATCCATGCTTGATGGTCCCAAGGCCCGGCGACGAGCTCAAGAGGCCGAAACGAAGGAACAGCCGCCGGGATGGGAGGAGGCATGTCCTCCGGCCCCCGTCCGATGGCGTCTGCCCAGGGCGGAGCGACGAGGCCCATGATGCCGAGGGCGGTGACGCCGGCGTTCCTGCCCTCGCTTCTCGCAACGGGCTTGGGGGGAGGGCGGACGGAGAAGGAGCGGCAGCAGCAGAGGGGCCAGGAGAGGGAGAGGGGAACATAGGGAGGTTGAGGAGGAGGAGGAGGAGGAGGACGACGAGGAGGAAGCGCAAGAGGAGGAGAGGGAGCGGGACGAGCGGGAGTAGGAGCGCAGGAGGAGGAGGAGGAGAGAGGGAGAGGGACTAGGGGCGGGGGGGAAAAAAAAGAAAGGAGGAGCTTGAAGCGAGACTGCTTCGGGACACCTTAACCCCATTGGTGGGACCAGATGCCTGGTGGAACCAGGGAGACGGTGGGTAGAGGGGGAAGCAGCACCATTCACGCGCAACGCGCGCTTCTGGCATCGCGCGCCCTGCCCCCCTCAAGTTGTGAAAACTCTGGTGACAGCGACGCCTCCCTCCTGCACATCATCCTTCTCCTCGCCCTTCAAATATGCCTCCAAGCCCCCTCCGCCTCGGCCTCTTCGTCCACCTCGCCGTCGTCCTCTGCCCCTGCCTGCCCTTTCCTTCGCCTCGTCGCCGTCGTCGTTGTCGTCGTTGTCCGCCACCTCCTCCTCCTCCTTCTCCTCCTCGTCCCTCCCTCTGCATCCCTCCTCCTGCCTCGTCCTCCTCGTCCTCGTCCTCGTCCTCGTCCTCGTCCTTGTCCTCGTCCTCGTCCTCCTCCTCCTCCTCCTCCTCCTCCTCCTCCTCCTATGCCTCCTATGCCTCCTTCTCCTCCTCCTGCTCCAACTCACGCTCCTCCTCCTCCTCCTCCTCATCCTCCTCATCCTCATCCTCATCCTCATCCTCATCCTCATCCTCATCAGCATCAGCATCATCATCATCATCATCATCATCCTCCTCCTCCTCCTCCTCCTCCTCCTCCTCATCATCATCATCAGCAGCAGCAGCATCATCATCATCATCATCATAATCGATATCCTCATCCTCATCCTCATCCTCATTATCCTCCTCAATATCGTCGTCATCCTCAATCCCATCCTCATCCTCATCCTCATCCTCACTCCCTCCCTCCATCCCCCCTCTTACCCTGTCGGAGCACAAATTTCAGGAAAAGAAGGAAACGCTTCTACGTGTAGGATTACCTAGGGCATGCGAGGACCGTCAAGGAAACGATTGCGACGGAAGTTCGCTGGCCCAGCAACACGTGAAGCTGCAACTCGTTCGCGGAAGCCAGTGGCCCAATCAAACTTGACCATGCTTTCTTCCACCTGCCCAGCAGATCCAGCTCCTCCTCCTCTCTTCCATTCAGCTGAACCCTATCGCCTATCAATGTCGGCCGGCCCCTTCCGTCCAATAGTCGTCTTCGCCGCCCCATCCGGATGTATACGCCTTGTACTCCATGTTGAAGGTGCTCTGGGGCGTGGCGGCGGGTGCGCGAAATTCAGTGCTGACGCGGCCTCAAGAAACCCCCGCAAGAAGCCCAGCCCTGAACATCCGCGCGAGGTGCGATTTGTGGGGAAGCCAGGGCAACCCGAACACAGCAGCTTCTCTGACGGCCACGAGGAGTCGCCGCGCTGCGCGCGGAGCGAAGAAGCCCAGGGTACCCTAACAGAAGGCGTCTGGTTTCTCGATGCGCGCCTCCACGCAGAGTGACGGAGAAGGAGGACGAGGAGGACGAGGAGGACGAGGAGGACGAGGAGGACGAGGAGGACGAGGAGGAGGAGGAGGGGGAGGAGGAGCAGGAGGAGGAGGAGGAGGGAAGGAAGGAGAAGAACAGGTAGGAGAAGGAGGAGGAGGAGGAGGAGGAGGAGGAGGAGTAGGAGGAGGAGGAGGAGGGGGAGGAGGAGGGGGGGAGGAGGAGGAAGAGGAGGAGGAGGAGAGAGAGGAGGAGCATCATGGCAGCGATCGGAGACCGGCGCCGAGCGCAGCAATGTGGCGGAAAGCCAGCGGGGGCCTCAGAGCGTGCGCCTCGGGCTCAACCGCGAACCCCACTTCCCGCCGGCAAGCGAAAGCCGCAAGAGCGAGGGGGGGCAGCCTCCAGCAAGAGCGGTGGGGGGGGCAAAGTGCTGGGGAGGGGCAGCGGGGAGCCCAGAGCTGGAAGCGGCGATATGCGTCGCGGACAGATTGGCGATAAAACCCCGACGGCCGATCCGCACGTTCTTGGGCGGGGTGGGCTCCCTTATCTGCGATGCATGCGCGATCGGGGATCGGCGCATCCCCCCCCCAAGCCCATCCCGCCCAGAGCCTACTCTCCCCCCCCCCCAAACCTGACCCCGGCCCTATCCCCTCCTGATCCTGATCGATGCATCTCCCCCATGCGCATGTTCCCCCGCGACGCTGCTCCTGACATGGGGTGAATTGGCAGCCTGTCCCTGGGCACGCGGTGCGTCGCGCCGAGCTGGCCTGTCGGGAGGTGCCGTGGGGGCTGCTGAGCAGTAGAAACGGCCTCCAGAGTGGGCCCCGAGCGTGTGGGGTCGGAGGACCGCGCCGCATCGCCGACTCGTCGGCGATGCATCGGCGATACATCGGAGACGTCTCACTCGGCGCCCCATACGGCCCCTCATCCTCTCAGAGGCCATTCTTGGGGGCCCCCTCGGACGGGCGCGGTGCGCTCGGCCCACCCTTCACGTCGAGAGGGCGCCCTCTCCCTGCGTCCTCGTCCTGCGCCTCCTGCTCCTCCTGCTCCTCCTGCTTCTCCTCCTCCTCCTCCTCCTGCTCCTGCGCTTCCTCCCGCTCCTGTCGCTCCTCCTCATCCTACTCCTCCTCCTCCTCCGCCTTCTCCTCCTCCTCATCCATCCCTTGGTTTATATAGAAGTTCCCGTGTCTCACCCGGAGGCGTTTCGGTAGGGGGGCCAGGCGTTTCACCTGAGACTCCCTCACCGTTCATGATCCTGAATCTTGGCATCTGCAACAATTTCACGGATGGAAAGCGGGTAGTTTAGCACCGCCCATTAGTCGAGAACATGTGCAACAGTTTCAATAAATATCATGGTTGGAATTCCAGGGATGGTGTCCAGGCACAAGTTTAGGAGTATCACGGCAAGACAGTTATGTTAATTCGCAGCGTTGACATCCCAGGGCCAGTGTTTTGGGGCGATTTGGGATTGTCAAAACGCTACAGTCACGTTGACTCGCGGTGCTGAAGTCCCGTGAATGGTGTTTTGGCGCAACTGAAGATTATCAAACGATTGTTTTCCAATGGGGCACTTCCCGCAATGAGCATGAGTTATTGGCCTACATGGGCGTGATAAAAAAATATTGCACGGAATTGTAATTGCGGTGCTCTTGTTTCGCTGCATTCAAGCTCTTTTTTGCACCACATTCCGAATCATATGTTCGAGGAACTGCTGCGCGACACGCTCGAATTCCCGTTGATTCGAACCGCCTTTGAACCGGTTCCCAAGACCTCTCTCGAAGAAACCCACCATAAAACGCACGTGTTCCCATTGTTTGGAACCGACTGCAAGCCGGGTTCCAAGTCATATTCTGCAGTAAACCCCTCACAGATCGCTCACTATTTCTATTGTTTGAACAGGGTTCGAACCCAATGCGAAGCATGTGTTCGAGGAAGTCCAGCACGAAACGCTCACTTTTCGATTGTTTCGAACAGACTTCTATTGTTTCGAACCGGCTGTCAAACCACTTGTTCGAAGAAGCTACACGTGATTCGCTGTTTGCGAACCGCCATCCCGTGAATAGTGGAGGTACCAACCCCTAGTTGCCTGACCCCCGCTGGCACAGCTCCATCCCCGTCACGCTGTATCAGGCTCCGCGCGCCTATTGGGGCATCTCCGACTCACTCAGTGCCAGCTTGGCAATAATCAGGCGATCTTGCATCTCGGAACAATACGAAGAGGGAACTTGGAGGGAGGGTCTGTTGCAAAATCGCTGATGCGCCCCAGGTTTACACTGGTCCTCCTCCTCCTCCTCCTCCCCTTCACCCCGGGGCGATGGGGCAGGCCAGCGCGACGGGCTCGGTGATGAGCTCGGGTCTGCTCTCGTCGGCCCACAGGAAGCTGGCGCGCCGGGCAGAAGGAGGCCACGCGAGGCGAGCGCGCGGTGCACCGCCCTGGGGGGGGGAGGGCGGGGCCCCTGCGGGCCTCTGCGAGGAGGGGCCGGGGAGCCCTCGGTGCGTGCTGAGCATGTCGCGGAGGCCTCCAACATAGGGTCCGAGTACAGCCAGCCCGTACATTAAGGACGCGCGATAAGGATGCCAGGGCCCTGGAGGGCCATGTTGACGTTCTTCGAACGGGGCTGGCCAGCGAAAGTCGCCAAGGATGGGCCAAAGGAAAAAAAGGATGCAAGGGCAGCCTAGGAAAGTCGCTCGTCCTTACTATGCGGGTTGATTGTAGACAAGGTCGGAGGGTCGCGCCGCAGCATCAGCGACGCCGCGGGTGCATCCGTGACCACAGCGCGCGCGGAGCAACCCAGGCTCCACATCGAGCCGCATCGGCGATGCATCGGCGATCCTCCGATCCCGTCTACTCGAATCTTTTTTTGGAGGCCTACAAATCGACGAGTCGTTCAGGGCGAAACGACTTCTCTTGTCCTTCGACTCGCGATGGAGCATGCACTATTCGCTCCAGCTTTCCCTGGAGATCTCTGGATTTATCTGGAGTTCCCTAGATTCATCTAGATTTACCTGGCTTGAACCCCGAAAGTCGATTGAAAAACAGTCGTTAAGCCCTCGGGGAAGGAGGGGGACCAGGGACATCTCCCCTCATCCTATCCCTCCTCCTTCCTGCCCTCCTGCCTCCTCCCCCTTCGCTCACCCCTCCCTCTCCCCCTTCCTCCCTCTCTGCCCCATCCCTCACTCTCTGCCCCATCCAGCCGCCGCTGCCTCCCTTCAAACCGATTTGGCAACCTCAAGCACCAGCGCGCGGCATCCCTGCGCAGCACTTGCATGCAGCGGTCGCCATCTGCTCGCGCCTGCGCCGGTGGCCCGTCTGTACCGACACTGTGCCTCTCATTCGAATGGTCCCACGCGACACATCGAGAGAAGGCGCCAAAACACACGAGCAGCGATGCAGGGGCAATTCTTCGACAGGGGCAGGGGCAGAACAAGAGACCCACAAAGGCGTAAGGTAGAGGTTGCAAAATGCCATGCAATAATCAACATGGGCAGATAGCATAACTATCAGCAATTGCACACAGGTTGGTGGCACACTTCAAGCAGAGAAAGAGGATCCCAATTAGAGCAGAGCGCCCAAAATCGAGGCTGACCTCATCCCCACGCTCCACCGCGTGATGGACACACAGGAGACGAAGGCCTCCTTGCAAATCGATACAGCACCAGTGCGAGCATTCAGTCGAGAACACGCACGCTTGCTCGAGAACACTGTTGACTGCCACCTCCTGTACGTCATGAGCGAACGACTCTGCGGATCAAAATCGCCTCGAGCATCGCTCTCCGGAGCTCTACGCACCTGGATGTGAGGCCTGCACTCGCGCAGGCGCTTCTGCGGGGCTCCTGAGATCTACCACTGGACTTATTCCCAACCGACGACTTCCCAGCCATCGGGAACCAGGAACTAGGAGGCAGAGCTTCGAGCTTGGAGCGGAGGAGGAGGAGGAGGAGGAGGAGGAGGAGGAGGAGGAGGAGAGGGAAGAAGCTCATGCCCTCGCGGTCTGGACTCCGAGGCGCGATCCCACGGGTGCAGTCCTTATCAGCACGCTCTGTATATGGTTCGGTGGCAACTCTCATGGGAGCCTCCCACACCATCTTGCCGGCGCTTGCGAATCGACGCCAGCCGACGCCAAATCGACGCGAACCGACGCCGAATCGACGCGAATAGACGCCAAGCGTCGCCGAAGCGGCGCTGTCATCGACTCCAGACGCTGATCCAGCGCTAGTCGACGCTGAAGAGGGAATTGCGAGGGCACACAACAGAAGCTCCCGTGAAACCCTCCGAACTATCTGCGTCCGAGGAGCCGCTCCGAAGCTATCTGCGTCCGAGGAGGAGCCGCTCCGAAGCTATCTGCGTCCGGGGAGGAGCCGCTCCGAATTAATCTGCGTCCGAGGAGGAGCCGCTCCGAAGCTATCTGCGTCCGGGGAGGAGCCGCTCCGAACTAATCTGCGTCCGAGGAGGAGCCGCTCCGAACTAATCTGCGCCCGAGGAGCCGCTCCGAACTAATCTGCGTCCGAGGAGCCGCTCCGAAGCTATCTGCGTCCGAGGAGCCCCTCCGAACTAATCTGCGTCCGAGGAGCCGCTCCGAACTAATCTGCGTCCGAGGAGCCGCTCCGAAACTATCTGCGTCCGAGGAGCCGCTCCGAAGCTATCTGCGTCCGAGGAGCCCCTCCGAACTAATCTGCGTCCGAGGAGCCGCTCCGAAGCTATCTGCGTCCGAGGAGCCGCTCCGAAGCTAATCTGCGTCCGAGGAGCCCCTCCGAACTAGTCTGCGCCCGGAGCGCCCACGAAGCCCCTCCGAACTCATCTGGGGAAGCCGCACGGCCGCTCCGCGTCGGTGCGGGCCGCGGCCGAGAGGAGTCCAGGCCCCGAGAGGCTGCGGGTAGGAGCACGTGCCCCTCCCTGGATGAGAAAGGTCAGGGGCGGCGAAGGAGGGAGGAGGGAGGAGGAGGAGGAGGAGGAGAAGGAGGAGGAGGAGGAGGAGCAGGAGGAGGAGGAGGAGGAGGGCGGAGGGAGGAGGCGGAGGGCGGAGGGGGGCGGAGGGCGGAGGGGGGCGGAGGGCGGAGGGAGGACGAGGGAGGAGGGAGGAGGAGGGCGGAGGAGCAGGAGGAGGAGGAGGAGGAGTAGGAGGAGGAGGAGGGAGGCGGAAGATCAGAGGGAGAAGCACCAGAATGAACCAAGCTATGCATCAACAACGCTGCAAGTCGCCCTCCCGTCCCGAGTCACCTCCTGAGAGGTCCCTGCGAATATTCCTCTTCACCGCGGGAGGCTTCCGCTGGAATGACGATCGCCTGGTGGGCAGCGAGATCCCGTTTTGTAAAGGATTCACCCTCCATCCATCCTTCAAGCTATGGTATATAACAAACTACGATCGGACACACAAATCAAAGAAATATCTGGCGACAACACCGTGTTGAAAAAGATCTGCCCTCCATCCGTGTAGAAGTTACACAACTTCAAAAGCCTCACCATAAAATTCGCGAATTCATAAACGAGAACTCCATTTCGAAAAGGACCACCCACCATCCGTGTAAAGGAGAACACCTGGTCATGAAATTTGAGTAAGTCTCAGGCAAGACCAACATTAAGAAAAAACAAGCTGGCCCCTATTATTGTAATTGTTGTAAGCGCGAAATCCAAGATGTCGTGACCCCCCTGTCATCCGTGTGCTTGTGAAATGCGTTAAGACAAGACTGAGCAAAACTAATGCAAGACACGCATGCTGAAAACGACCGGCCCACCATCCTTGTAACCGCTGAAGCTTCATAGTGTCAGGGAAAAGGCGAAGAAGGATGGAGAAGCATCGAGGATCCGTGAGGTGAGAAGTTCAATCCAACGATGGCACCCTGCCCAGGGAGATCCTGTGGACCTGGCCGGCCAGGACCCCAAGGCGAATTCGTGTTAGGGCGATGGGGGGGACGGAATATTGAAGGGGGAAGATGAGGAATCGGGGGAGCAGGGAAGGACATGGGAAGAGGGGAACAAGAGGAATCAGGAGGATCAGCCTGGTGTCCCCTGAGAGGCGCAAGTTAGCACCAAGAAGACCACTCTCACTCGCTCTGCCCAACCCCCATCGGATCTGGCCTGAAGACGGCCCAAGAATGCGTTGAGACGCTCCAACTTGCTCCAAGAGGACGCCCAGAAGGCCCCCAGAAGCCTTGAAGTCGCTGATTTCCATTGCCTTTTCAATGATGGTCTCGCAGTTCCAGGGCTTCCGATGGCTCAAGACGGCCCCAGAGACATCAAAGATACCGCCAAAACGGGCCAAGAAGCCCCCAAGAGGACTTCAAAAAAGGCCCAGAGGGCCCTAAGATGGCCCAATAGGCCCAAGACGGCCCGAAGAGGGCCCCAAGACGGCCCCAGAGACCTGCACCCGAAAGCATCCCAAGAGGGCCCCAAGACGGCCAAGTGAGGCCCCCAAGACGGCCTCCGAAGACCAAGCATCCCCTCTTATCAGGCCCCAGGAAGCCCACGAAAGGCCCCCAGGAGGCCCTCAAGAGGCCCCAAGAAGCATACCAAGAGGACCCAAGAGGCCCTCCCTCAGAGGCCCCCCAGAGGCCCCAGGAAGCCCTCGGAAGGCCCTGAGAGGCCCTCGAGAGACCTCCTCCTCCTCCTCCTCCTCCTCCTCCTCCTCCTCCTCCTCCTCCTCCTCCCCCTCCTCCTCCTCCTCCTCCTGCTCCTCCTCCTGCTCCTCCTCCTGCTCCTCCTCCTGCTCCTCCTCCTCTTCCTCCTCCTCCTCATCCTACACCCCTCCTCCACACCTGTTCGTTTAAAAAAGTCCTCCCTATCGCACCCTGAGGCTGGTCGAGAGGGCAGGCCAGGCGTTTCGCCTCAGACTTCCTAATCAATGCTAACCCTGAAACTTAAACAGTGGCCACGGCTTCACAGATGGAGGGCGAATCGTCTCAAAACTGCGATTATCGCTTCAGCGCCGCGCGAATTCGTTGAATCCGCCGGCCCTGTCAGCGTGTGAAAGACGCATCCCGGTGTCGTCGTCTTGCGTGGATCACAGTCGTCGTCGTCGTCGTCGTCGTCGTCGTCGTCGTCGTCGTCGTCGTCGTCGTCGTCGTCGTCGTCGTCGTCGTCGTCGTCATCGTCGTCGCCCGCAATAAAAGAAAATCGAACACGAAACAGAAGAAAATCGTAGTCGTGGCGAAGCCCCTCCCTACCCTCCCCACCGCGGGGGGGGAAAGGGGTGGGGGGGGATGGAGGGGGGGGACGGGGGGGCAGATACGCATCCCCCCGGGCGACCCCTCTCCCTCCCTCTCCCCCTCCCCCTGCCCCCTCCCCCTCCCCCTCCCCCTCCCCCTCCCCCTCCCCTCTTCCTCCTCCCTCCTCCTCCTCCTCCTCCTCCTCCTCCTCCTCCTCCTCCCTCCTCTCCTCCTCCTCCTCCTCCTCTCCTCCTCCTCCCTCCTCCCTCCTCATCTCCTCCTCTCCTCCTCTCCTCCTCTCCTCCTCTCCTCCTCTCCTCCTCTCCTCCTCTCCTCCTCTGCTCCTCCTCTGCTCCTCCTCTGCTCCTCCTCTCCTCCTCCTCCTCCTCCTCCTCCTCCTCCTCCTCCTCCTCCTCCTCCTCCTCCTCCTCCTCCTCCTCCTCCTCCCCTTCCTCCTCCTCCTCCTCCTCCTCCTCCTCCTCCTCCTCCTCCTCCTCCTCCGCATCCTGCTCCGCCACGTCTTCATTTACCTCGGACGTCTTATCACGCATCCCGTCACCCTCGAGGGCCGAAGTATCCAGGGTCGGCGGCACTAGCCGTAAGGCCTTAACAATAAAATGCAAGCGTTTCACGGGTTGAGGGCGGCTCATTTTCAAAGTGTTGCCCTCGCTTTAGCGCCGCGCACACTCGCCTTTAACGTTTGCAAGAACTCCATTGATGTCCATGGCCAACGTGCCAGACATGGTACTTTGGAAGGACTCCGGATTTTGAGGGCGCAACAGTTACGTTGATTCGCAATGCCGAAGTCCTAGGAATGGTGTTCGGGCACGATTCCAAATCGTCAAGACGCAACATTCATGTTGATTCGTGGCGTTGGAGTCCCGACAATGGTGTTTTGACACGCTTCAGAATCGTAGAAGCAGTGTCTCCCAATGAGGCAGTCCCCCTCAGTGAACATGATCCCTTGTAGGGTCCTATGAAGAGGCAGCTTGGAGAAAAGGTTGATTCAAACATCGCTGGTGAGTCATGAGTGTGCACTGGTTGTCCTCCTCACCCGTGGCCATTTTGGCCCAGGCGCGCAATCCCGAGCTTGCATCCGCGTACCTCGAAGCGGCTCGTGGGCGCGAGCCTTAGCACAAACTCCACGCTCACATGGCCCCTTGGCATGGCGAGTCAGAACATCGCGACCCGCTCTAGACCTGCTCGCGGCGCCTGGCGTCCAACTGGTTCTGTCGCGATGAGTGCTACAAGCAAGGGTGCTCAGGTGCGCCGCCCCGTCGGGCTCGCAAGGCCCAGCCCGCGCAAGGCTTGGTCCCTGCCCCTGGTGCATCGGGAGAACCTAAGAAGCAATAGGCCAAGGGCGCCAGTGGCGCAGGGCAGGCCACGGCGGGCAAGGACAAGGGCAACGGCGGAAGCAGGGACCGCGGCGAGCGGGCTGGCTGACTCCAAGGGCGCCCTGTTCGACAAGCCCGTGGAAGGCCTGCGCGCCGCCGA